AAAAAAAGATATATTGGCACTAGAAAAGGTTCAGAAAAGGGCAACTAAAATGATTAAGGGTTTGGAACAGGTCCCATATGAGGAGAGATTAAAGAGGGTAGGACTCTTCAGCTTGGAAAAGAGGAGACTAAGGGGGGGATATGATAGAGGTATATAAAATCATGAGTGATGTGGAGAAAGTGGATAAGGAAAAGTTATTTACTTATTCCCATAATGCAAGAACTAGGGGTCATCAAATGAAATTAATAGGCAGCAGGTTTAAAACAAATAAAAGGAAGTTCTTCACGCAGCACACAGTCAACTTGTGGAACTCCTTACCTGAGGAGGTTGTGAAGGCTAGGACTATAACAGAGTTTAAAAGAGAACTGGATAAATTCATGTTGGTTAAGTCCATTAATGGCTATTAGCCAGGATGGGTAAGGAATGGTGTTCCTAGCCTCTGTTTGTCAGAGGGTGGAGATGGATGGCAGGAGAGAGATCACTTGATCATTGCCTGTTAGGTTCACTCCCTCTGGGGCACCTGGCATTGGCCACTGTCGGTAGACAGGATACTGGGCTAGATGGACCTTTGGTCTGACCCAGTACAGCCTTTCTTATGTTCTTATGTTGACTGAAAAAATGTTCATCAAAACATTTTTTCAATGGAAAATGTCTTTTTGAACAAAACAAAAATATTTGTGGTAATTTTTTTTCAGGCACAATTTTCTGTTTTTTTTTTTTTTTTTTTCAACAAAAAGCTGGACACTGAACATTTTTGGTTTTAGGAAAAATTATTTGATTTTTGTTTTTAAAACCTGAATTTTACAGAAAACTGTAACATTTCCCTCTAAACAGTTTTCAACCCCCCCCCCCGTAATTTTTGGTTTTAGTCTTTTAATTGAAACAATACACACTTGTGAGAATTTTTTCAGTGAAAACTTTTTGATATGTCCCATGAAAAATAATTAGCATTTTTCAACCAGCTCTAATTGTAGTGACCAGTAGAGCAACATGGAGCTCCCAGTACAGGAAAGGGGACTGGTGAATGTGATCCCAGGTGGTGGAACATTGAATAACCTGAAGGCAACGAAAAAGAATATGTGGGAAGATCTTTTTCTGCACATAGGGAAAGAGATGAAAAGTGACCTGGACCAAATGTTCCTGTAGGAGGAAGAGGGAATCATTACAGGTGGACAAGTCACTTATGCAGAACTACTGCAGGAACAAGAGGGAAATGTGAGTATGAAGAGAGACGGTTCCAAAGAGAATATTTTAATGAGTAGCTAAGGGCTCAAGAAAAGATAACAGCACAGCTGTCTCAGGAAGCAGCCCCCGCACCTGTGCTCTACCACCTGCTCAGAATAACTTTACTCCCCTCCCTTCTGCCTCCCTTTCTTCCCTGCATTTCTGGAAGCCAAGTTGGCTGAGCTTCACATCCTCTTTTCTCCTTATCCCTCCCACATCCTGATGGGAATGTTTGGCCCAGTCACCTCTTCCCCATCTCCCTTATCCAGCTGTTTGGGCATGCTACAGGCAGTTGGCATGAAGAGGATTTACTTGATGTATTGTACACACAGAGTCCAATTTGCATGAAGTATAGCCACCATTTTGATTACATGCCTATTAATGCTGCAACTGTTCTTTTCTCTTGACCATTTTTTGCAATATGTTTAATAGTTATTTGATCCGTTGGACACCAAATGGTTTTCTGGCTTGTTTTTTTTAAATTAAAGTATAATATTGAAGAGCTATAAAGGTTTAACTTAATTTTAAGTAGCTGGACTCAAACTCAGAATTTCTGATTTTAATTCCCAGCTCTGTCCCAGGCATCCTGTGTAGACTTAAGTAAGTCACATCATGCTCTTTGCCTTAGTTTCTCTTTTGTGAAATGGGTATAATACTTCCTTTCTTCTTGTCTTTGTCTGTCTTGTCTATTTAAATTGTAAGGGCTATTTCTGTCCAGTACTTAGCATGAATGGGTCCCAATTTCAACTATAGCCTCTACATGCTACTGTATTGTAAATGATAAATAATAATCATAAACATCTATAGTTTCTTGATCTGTCTTTTTATAATTCAAGAATTAAATTGTTAGAAAAACAAAATTTCACTTTTTCATATAACTCCCATATCAAGTGGAACTCCACAAGTCTCCTCCAAACTTTACATTTGAATTATCCCCTCCACTAGAAGAATTTTAAGATTATGAATTCTCAGATTTGCTTTCTTCTTGTTTGCTTTTCCCAACGCTTTCATAGCACTCTGTGTAAGCATGTCAAATCAGGGGACAATACTATGCCATGATGGGTCAAATAATTAGCCAGCTCTGGGGAAGTCAATAAAACAATGCACAAAGTCCAGGTTGGAAATGTCATTTTGGTCTTATTGTAGGATGATAAAGCAAACAGTTTGGAATTAAACAAATTCTCCTTTTCACAGGCTGGTAAGCAAAAAAATCTCTCTCTCTCCCTGTACATAGTGTTAATCAGGTCTCAGCTTTTGATGTTAAAGGTCAGAGCCAATGTGGTAAACACAATCCCACATCCACCCTGCCAAAGAGGAAACCTTCTCCCTCTCCCATTTCTATCCAGGTCATCTAAACCTGAGCCGAGAAGATTCCCAAATTGCTAGCTCAAGTTAATCTACGGTCTCATCTGGAGCCAGATACCATTCTGATGTTTGTGTATGGAGGGAGAGGGGAGGAAGTTCTATGTCTTGAATTTAAAATTTAGTAGCTCTATTTAGATCCCTTAGCTTCTCCTCCCTTCAGTGCCTAAGGAGAATTATGCACGCACACTGACTGGAGAAAAGACCCCCTCCCCCAAAGGAGCTTATGCTGTTTGATGTTAGTTACACAATATTAAACTGTGAACCTGCATCATTACTAACAAACTGGAAGCTAGAATGTCACTTTTAAGCATGGTCGGAGCCAATGGGAGCTGCACATGCTCTGAAAATTAGGCCACTTTTATTTGGTGGCTAAATATAGATTCAGGAGCCTAACTTTAGGCACAGAGCTTTGAAAATTTTGGCCTCGATGCCTGTAGGCCTCAGAGCATCTTAAATGGCCAAGAGTTTCAAAAGGGACTAGTGGTTTCTGGTACCTCAATTTTTGGGTACTCAACTTGAGGCAACTTTAGGTGTTCAACACTTTCTGAAAATGACGTTTCTTAAAGTTGTCTTAAGTCGAGCACTGCAAAACTTGAGACACCCAAGATAGCTAGTCAATTTTGAAACTCTTGGCCAATGAGACTAAGCCTTACCTCATTCAAGTGAATGAGAGTTTTGCTATTAACTTCAGTGGCAGCAGGCTTGGGATCTGTACTTTCGCATTTTTGTAGCAGTTCCCAGAGATGCTATGTAAACAGTTGCTTGGCAGGGTAGGTTTTCTAAACTTCAAGCCTTGCCTTGATGGGCAAAAAGGGTGCATTTACATTAGCACCACCAAGTTAGCTCAACATGATTGAAAAGCCCTGTTAAGTTGCAGGCTAATACATTTTGAAGCCATGTTAGCCGCCCACATTTTTGCTTAGTGGGGAGCCCAAACTACAACATGGCAAGCTAACAAGTGCATCAAGAAAAGGCCCAAGTTACAGTGAATTAACTGGACCTGCTGATAAACCAAACACTAGTGCTATTGACTAGTCAACCACCTAAACAAATGCTGCCACAAATCTTGTCTGTGTTTCTCTTCTGGCAGCAGCCTCTCTAATCTCATGCTGCATGCACACACAAAGAATACTCTGGACTGATGACAGATGTGAGGTAATGTAAATAATCTATTCCAGTAGGGCGGCCGTCTTCTATGTTTTCCATGACTGGCAGTATACAGAGGATATTTATAGGCTCTCAGGAATCTGTTCTCACGACAACAGTGCCTGGCTATATCAGCTGTCATCTTTTTTATTGTTTAAATTTTGTAGCAGTTTTCTTTCAGTTTACATAAATTAGGTAAGATGATATGTCCCAGGTAATATGAAATAAGACAAATATGAGATTGGAATGTGGCAAATATGAGCAGATTGAATCATAAAAGGGAAGACATTGCTGTGCTTATCAATTAAGCAAGGCAGACTACAGTCAGCCAAAGATACCTAATTTATCAGGAAAAGTCATACACACACAGATTCTTCAGTCAAAAACCAGAGATATCACAGGATTTCCACTTTGTCAGAATAATGCATTTTCATGAGGAAAGTTTAAAACATGGGGACAGGTTTCTTGATATACAAAAATATGATCAGTGTTGTGATAGGGGTTGTGCTAATTCCCAATAATAACATCATCCTGAAGAATCTAGTGAGACTGGAAGTTCTTTGGAGCAAGGAGTGTCATTTATAATGATACATGTGGTAAAGTGCTTAGCACAACAGGGACCCAATCCTGATTGTACCTGGTAGATGCTACCACAATACTACTACTACTACTAACAACAACAACAGGCAGTCCAGCACAATCTCACTTCATCTACTGAGTTCAGAATTATAGCTCTAGAACTTATCTGAAATTGAGAGTCCCACCAAGAATAAGTCATTATAACTATATTATAGATACTTTATTGGGTCTAAAAACTGAGTGAAGACCTCCTGATGTTTTCCCAGATGGCAGAACTATGGAATTTGAGTGCTCATTACCCTGCTTTCTATTTCTCAAAACCTACCAGAAGTGGTAACAACACAATAGTCATCAAATAGTGGTAGATTGTGTCAACTGAAGAGGCCTGACCTAGGAAGTTTAGCAGATTGAGGGACTTCTTTACAGAAAGACCCCAGTTAGGTACCTCACCTGATGATAGCTCTGAAACTAGGAGTGGTCCAGATAAAACTTTTTTTTCCAAGAACCCTTATCAAATTTGTAGCTCTTTTTTCTCCAACAGCCAATCATAATGGCAGAATTCATGATCTCAATAAACAAACCTCGTTTTAAAACCTGAACTTGAAAATTCCCCATTGGCACGATCAATGACACCAAGGAGGATGTCAAAGAGAATGGCATAGGAACATGTAGAGCACTGTCTTCACCATACCTAATTCCCTAGCACAATAGTTATGACAAAGGTCATCAATGGACATAACTCTAGAACCAGGGTTGATTTCAGAGGACTGCCCGGTGTAGAATGTATTTTAGAGACTTGGTCACATAAGCATTTTTGAGGAAAAAGCAATGTGAATTTCATTATCATTGGTATTAGACCAGTAGGATTATTATTATTACAGTAGCACGTAGAGTATGCAACCTAAATGATGGTCCCAATGTGCTAGGTGCTGGACAAATGCATGGGAAGAAAGCTTCAAGAGCTTACAATCTAAATAACATACATTATGCATACATAGAACACACATGCAGCAATTATAAATATATATATGATTAATTCCTTACCATTTCATAGACCGTAAGCTGCTTGGGGAACAGGCAATGTCTCCTCAGTGTTCCGTACCATAATGCGTATAATCTCACCACTCAATAAATATTCACTCTGATTAGAGATGGACCTGAACTGGAATTCTTGAACTTTGGGGTTGCTAGGGTCCATCTTCTCAGTTTTGGATCCAATCATGTTCACCATTTAGAAATGGACCTTTTCTGCCTCTAGGATTTCGAAGTGGAAGTTGGGTTCCACTCCCAGCCCTGTTCATATCGCAGCCTGAGCCCACTCGTTCCCTCCGGCTTCTCCTTCTTGTCTCCACCACTCTGCTCCTCTGGAAAATGAAGCATTCCCCATTGGTCCCTCAACCCTTCCCTCCTCAGAAATAACCATTGGCTCTTGGACAGCCAGGCTCCCTCCTTCAGAGGCCTCTGCCTCTCCTTTTAGGGGCAAGGGGAAGGAGAGAGGAGCAGAGGGCTCAGCTATGGGAGGAGGAGCAGCAGCTACGGGACCACAGACCATCTGTATACCAGGTGTGTGGCAGCAGTAGCCACAGAGCCTTGCAAAAAAGTAGGATCTAGCCTAAGTTAATTGAACTGAGGAGCTTTAATTCCCACCTTCCCCGTCTACTCCCCTTCCCCAGCCAGAAACCGTGTCCAAATTTCAACGCAATCTGCTAAACACTGCGGCTCTGTCTCCAGTTAAAGGGATAAACTTATACTCAAGTACCGCAAACACTACAAGCTACCTTGCCTCAGAAAGCAGATATTAAACGTACTCTACCGGATATTCTGTGAAAATGATCTTTTACTAAATTTCACACAACTTTCCAGGGAACAATACCAGATAGATAAATAAATCAGGAACATAAAAGCATTTAAGAAGTCATTTGGCCAAGAAGCTTTAACCCATTTAGACAAACTAATTTTGCACTGCTTCCTTAGATCTACACCAGCAAAAATGCCTGAGTCTCGTCCATGAGAAACCTGCACCATAGGATGTTATAGGGGGACTGCATCATCCAAGCCAACTCCAGAGCCGGTAGAGAGGGCATATGTAGCAGGGAGGAAACACTGCACCTTCGCACATCAGAGCTGCTCACAATGACTTTTGTTGCTGATTGCGCATGTTTGGTTCTACTTGTTAAATCTTGTTAAACAGGAAACAGGTTTTGAGGCAAGAGGGTCCCTTGGAGTTCAAACTCCTGCTTTCAAATGTTCTTACAAGATGCACAATTGGCACAGACTTACAGGAAATATTTAATTGGAATCGGAAGGCACTGGCTCCACCAACCTTGTATTATATTTTCTGTGTGCTCCTGTTACAATGATTTTTGCCGGTAGTTTAAATTGGTGATTTGTTTATATCAATCAGTGGAGAGTCCAACAAAATCAAGGGGATGAGTGGACTGTGGTGATGCAGTGGGGGGAGGGGAGGGGGAGCACTAAGGAATATTCTTATGAAGTAGAAGGGCTGCGACTAAACTGAGAGTGACATATTTATGAGTCCAGTATCAGTTGCCTACACTGATAAGCCACGGTCATTAAAGGAAGGAAAAGTCACCTTTGTGTATATAAAATATACAAGATTCATAGCCTGAAAAGACTGGACAGGAAAGCATTAGGTAAATAAAGGATATCCCATAAAGCATAATGCGAATATTAAGTTACCTCATAAGGGAGGAAGGTTGTCTGTGTCTGCAGTAAGAATGAAGGAAAAATTAAATTCCTTTATTTCATCCCAACGTTAATTGGCCTTTTGTGGTTCAGTGGGAAGGCTGGCCTTCTTGTTGTTTTTTTGAAGGATATATTCAATGTCCATCCCATCTGAATGGAATCTCCCTGTGTCCCCTAAACTGTTCACCATAGGCCCACGGGGGAAGCTCTGAATGAGCATCCCATCCATTGTTAGAGTGGATAGAAAAATGGAAACACAATGTCACAGAACTCTGACATTTCAAAGTTGTTTCTGTTTTGCAGGATTCACAGGGGAACAATTATTTATTTTTTTGCAATTCTTGCAAAACATTTTGAAATTTCATTTTTCTCCCGCCTTCCCCTTTTTGCCGCAGAGTGCAACAAAATGAACAACATCCAAGGTCTGTCTGTCTGTTTCATTTTTCCTTTTGCCACTCTGTAACTTTCCAAAGTTACAGAAGTTTTGAAAATTTTACAAAGTGGACACAAAAAAAAAAAAAACAAGAAAAAGAAAAAAGAAAAACTGGGGGAAACCTAGAGAGCATTCATTTTATTACATTCAATAGCAAAAAGGAACAAAGGAAAAAGGGAAAGAGGGGGGGAAAGAAAAAAAATATAAACAATTCAACATTTTGAAAATTTTTGACAAAATCAGCCATGACAAGTCCAGATTACAACTGGTCGAAGTTTTTCAGATGAAACCCTTTTTGCTGCAAAATGCAGATTCAGGTAGACTGAAACATCTTGTGAACTTGTGTTGATTTGGCTGAATTGTTTCAGACAAAATGAAACAATAAAAAATTTTGTTTTGACATTATGAGAATGAAACTTTGATTTTTTTTTTAGCTGGACTCACAAGGGGACTTAGGCACTATACACAAACTGAGGTGCCGCTCCCCTGCCCTTAGACCCAATAACTTAGTAGTTAATGGAATTGACTGGGAGGAGGGAGATCCAGGTCAAAATCCCCACTTTCAACTTGAATCCAGATCTGCCCATTGCTAATGAGTGCCCTCATCACAAGGCTATAGGTTATTCTTATGGGTTAAGGGGGTGACCACAATATCTCCTGTTCCATGTTGTATAAATACTTAAATATTAATTGGAGCAGGGCCTGGAACCGAGCTTCCCCCCTCCCACATGGTGTCCTATCCACAGGACTACTAAGTATAAGAGATGCACCAACCAACCAATATCGCCTCTGTTTTGTGAATCGAGAGCCTTCATTTCCTTTGCTTTAACTAAAAAGGTTAAAAACGCCCAAAACATTTAGTTGGACCCAAAACATTTTTCCAACTTTTTCAATTCACCAAATTTTTTTTTTAAGATCAGCTTTAGTTCAGGATGAATGGAAAAATCGATTATGTACACAGCTCTATTCCAGACTGATAAAATAGTACGGAAATTGTACGAGTGATGGTTTTCAATACAAAACAAGGAGCAAGGCATATTAGACCTTGCTCAGGCAAATTTTAACTGAATGACATGAATGACAGTGAATGTTACTTGGTTGGCTAGCTATTGACATTACTGTTGCATGTTAACATGTCACAGTGAACTAGATATCAAAAGAGGGGAACTATAAATAATTCCCCCCCAAAATCACTTTATAGACTCACTGCATTAAAGAAGTATTTTCTTCTTTCAAGCACATGTATCCAAATAAATACACAGGGCTAGTTCCTCAGCTGTGCAGCTCAGCAGAGTTCCATTGATTTCAGTTGAGCTATGCCAGTTTACACCAACAGAGGATCTGGTCCACAGGAACCTCCTTTACATTTATGGAAAGATGTTGTTTATTTTTATCATACCTCTTAAAGATATCCTTTAGTTCTACAATCAGTATCAGAGTCTGTGTTTATAGCTAAGAAGCTGTGCGGGTTAAGAAACAATCAAGCAGTGATCTGTCACCTCTGGAAGTGCAGTCGAGTCCAACACTGGACTAACTTTCCCCTTTAACCACAGCCCTCGAGGGGGAGTTTCCTTTATTTTTTGTTGTTTGCTTTTAACATGTTGCACACGGTTCACTTTTAAATGCGATATTGTCCGATTCAGAAGATGAGGGAAACAGAACGTTATTTGCACAGGCCACCTTCTAGGCAATGCAGCTTCACTTCCCTTGGATTTTTGACTCCCACTTTCTCCCTTTGCTAGTGTCCCAGCTCTGTCTCTAATAAATAACTAGTCCACATCACTAAACTACGGCACATAACTCAGAGCAATTTGTTACTGTTGGCAATGTCTGTATAGTAGAGGCCCAGGAATAGGCCAGCATGGAAGCAGCATTACCTCCCACTCTTAAGGAGCATGATTTCTGCCTGATTACGAAAGGGGTCATTGGTAGGACAACATAGGGAAGGTCAGACACATTGACTTGCACAGTAACTGCCTGGGCTGAATTCTCCTTTCCATGAGGAGTTACTCCAGATTTACCCTGGAGTATCTGAGAGCAGAATTCGGTTCCATCTTTTCAGCACTGAAAATATAATGGTACATTTTAAATCTTTATATATATTTTTTAAATTACTGATTTTTTTAAATGTCTTAGGCAAATACAGTCCCATGCCCAGAGGTTGATTTAAAATATATAAATCCTTCTAAAAGCAACAACACAACACCACCACCACTAAGCCTACGGACTTTCCAAAGCACTACTCTCTGTGTGTGGTTATAAACCTAATACATCTGTATAATTTCAAAGGTAACTGGAAAGGATAACGACCTCCTGAGGTCTCTTCCAACCCTAATCTTGTATGATTCTATGATTTGCACTGATTCCTGCTTGGCTTGTGTGTTCTTCAACTCTGGGGCATGTCCAGTGGGTGTCATGGGAGGAGACAGTAACGCCCCCGTGGAAGAGCCCATGGAAGAGTAAATATTTTCTTTGTGTTTGTCCCATGAAATAACTAATTGGGAATCAGGGATGGAAGGAAACTGGAATCTTCAGGGTTCAGCATAGAAATTTGGTGGCCATTAACCCTCTTAATAATAAAAAAATAAAGGATCAATTGTTTTCTGTCCAAAAGGGTAGGAGGGGAGCTAAGGGCTGCTGAAGATGGGAGCTTCCCTCCAGGAAATTTAGAAATGCATAGGGAGAAGGAGTAGCAGTTGCTGCCTCCTATTCAAAGAAGGGTCATTTTCTTGTGAGATACTTAGTCATACTCAGAGGTGATGATCAGTCTCAGCTTTTATTTGGTGTTTATTGGTAAACACTTTCCAACGTGTTCTTCTCATCTGCTCTTTTCCCTGTAGCCATCTTCCTTAAGACAGCTTGAGTACACAACCCTGGTAAGGTACAACATCCTCTGGATATTGTGATAAACCCAGGCCAGTTGGGTACAGCAGAATAGCAGAAGGCAGATGTACTGGCCACTGGATTAATAGTTTTCTGTTCCCTGATTGACCAGAGCAGGGGCTGCTCCAGGCTAATGAGAACACCTGACTCCAATTAACCTGCAAAGAGTCAGGTGAGGCCATTAAGCTAATGTGACCACCTGACTCTAATTAAGGCCCCGCTGATACTATAAAAAGGGCTCACTTCAGTCAGACAGAGGAGAGGAAGTGTGGCTGAAGGGCTGGTTAATGAAGACACCCTCAAGTTATTGATAAGGGAGCCCTAAGGTAAGGGTGAAGAAGGGAGATGCAGGACAGCTGTAGGGAAGTGGCCCAGGGAAATGTAGCAACTCTGGCAGTGAAAGGTTGGCTGCCAACAGCTGCTACCATTAGGGTCCCTGGGCCGGAACCGGGAGTAGAGGGTGGGCCCGGGTTCCCCCCAACCCACCACTACAGGAACACCTCCTGGGAGGGGAAGTCAGGCCCCTGTCAGGACAGGGGGCTAAACTGTTCTAAAACAAGCCCCTAGGGACAACAGAGACTGTGGGAATTCTCTCACCAGCCTCCTTGCTGGCTTATGATGAAAAGGGCTCAGTAGACTCTAACCCTGGCCCTAGAGAGAGAAGGGCTACATGAAGGGTCACAGTGAGCCACTGAGGCTAGCATATACCACCTAGAAGTGCAGGACCCACGGGGGCAAGGTCAGAGCTCTGCCACAATATAAAGAAAGAGTATCTTATCTACAAGCCACATTTTCAGGAGTTGGTAAGTGAAGTGCCAGGATTCTTCGAGCGAGTCTGCAAAATATTGGGACCCATAGAATGCAGTCAGATGGCAGGTGACTCCTGATACTGTAGCAAGGCAGGAGGTCAGGAGGAGCAGCAATTGGATGGACAGACATAGCTACAAAAGCTGACTTGTTATGGCTGTCACAGCCAGAGCTCGGATGTAGTTTGTGCTCTAGAGATGGTCAAAAAATTTTATTTGAAACTTTTTTTTGTTGACAAAAATTGCTTTTTACAATGGGAAATTTTCAGAAAAAGCTTTCTTAAAATTTTCAATGTTTTCATCAAAACCAAACATTTCTAAATTTTGCTATTTCAAAGTTTCAAAATGTTGGTTGTCCGTTTTTATGGTTTTCTTCCCTCTTTCTCCCTTTTTGCCATGGAATGCAACAGAATGAACAATGTCCATGATTCGGTTGGTTGGGTGCTGGGATGGAGGATGCTGGAGGGATTTTTTTAGTTTTTGCCACTCCGTAACTGCTGAAAACGTCCTCAAATGTGTTAAACTTATAGAGTGGCCAAAAAGAAACTTGAAAATGAAAAAGTGAAAAACGCCAAACAAAACAAACCCTAGATATCATCCATTCTACTGCATTCTTTGAGACAAAGGAAAAAGTGAAGTGGGATGGGGAAAAAAGGGGAGGGAAATTTTGGAGTTTTTCAAAAAATATGTTGTGAAAAATTTCAAGGAAACAAAAAATTGTTTCATTTTGGAACAAAGATGACTTAAATGTTTTCATAACGTGTTTTATTTTTCTTTTGCCAAACTGTTCTTGTGTGTTGCAAACAGGATACGACAAGAAAGAACCAGTCAGGCACCCACCTGCCTTAAGCATAAAACCAAGATGATTGTGCTTGCTCTGGTACTGGGTGTAGTACAGTGTAATGTTCATTTAACAGAGGGAAACTCAAGAGCTTTATATAAAAACCCCCAGACTCATCCATGACATTCACTTGGCCCAGAGAGCTCTCTGTGACAAGTGCCTCATTCCCAGGTAGACTAGTGAGAACTGAAGAGGAGGATAACATAGTCCAAGCAGTGGGTGAGGAAATTATTTTGGCTGCTGCACTGTGGATATACTGAAAGGGACCAAGATGGGGAAAGGCAGCCATTTTGAAGGAGGCTGCGGTAGTAAAGGGGAGATAAACAAGGCAATAAGGAGAAAGCCAGTGGGAGATGCTCCCCAACCTTCTGAAGCCAGGCTGCCCAGAGAGAATAGCAGACTTTACCACTCAAAAAGCCACAGCTTAACTGGAGTTCCACAATAACAATAACATAAAAGGTAACCATGCTGATGACTAAAAATGTCTACGTCAGTAATCTAAGGAGGAGAACAATGGAAAGTGGCCTATTATCTTCAACACCAAGCAGGAAGATAAACTTAA